CTTCCATGTAAGACCTAAAACCTAGACTTTGATACCAAAATTTGTAATGCCCCAAAACCCACCTAGGACGACATTACAATCTAAAAGTCATTCACAACATGAGAGCAACTAATAATATTTATAAGTAAGATAATTTCATTCATCATTCATAATATCTACAACGTTATCCAAAAGAATATGTTAAACTATAACATCTACATCCCAAAATAATATATCAAACTATAACAATTACCTCTCAAAAGAATCAAGCTTAATCTTGCAGTGGAATAAACAAAATACATCTATTAGTGTACCAAAATATATCCCCTAATCTAAAACATGGAGAGATCAACTCTTGACATCCCCCTTGGGATCCACGTTTTCCTCCAATTGTGCTTCCCAAGCCACCTGCTCGTCAACTCTGAGCTCTTCATCTATACTGACATTTGAGAATGAATAATATTGTAAGGGGTGAGCACTAAACTCGGTAGCAACATCCCTCTAAACTTAAACAAGGTTTAAAAAATATATAAACACATCCGGTTTCATTTCGTAAATATCATATATAACATTTGAAATAAAACAGGGACATTTCAATAGATCTCCAGTTTATGCAATAGCAATAGTTAAATGAAGAGATAAACCAATTTTCAAGAAATAAACCATTTTAACATTGAACCACAATCCACCATTTGTAACATTATCCATAATGTAAATCAACCACAGCTTGTGTCTATGAATTTGTACTTGTATCTCAGGCATGATGTATGACATCACATGAATCGACACATTGAGAACATCCTGGCCCACACTCACACACCCAATCCTCGCAAGGATATCCAACTTTTAGGAAGGGCGTATACCAAAATAATAGCAGTGACGAATCTAACCCCAAGAGTAATATACTAACCCTCAGTCACAGTATCCGTGAGAGAATAGTGACTTGGTCCTCATAAGGAACCAACCCCACTACGAGTAGTAGAAAAAATTTAAACCCACACGGAGTAAGAAACGCATCTGCCCACTCTATGATACCCGGTCAATGGCCACCCATGGTCAACCCAACATTACAATCCCCAACAAATTTCTCACATAACAATCCAATTCCAAATCCCCAAATTTTCATGTAGTATTACAATAAAATAATTGAAGAAAATAAGCAAGAGATCTTCAACAATACCATTCTATTGTTCAATAAAAAACACTATAATTTTTTAAATCAAGAACAAAGGAAGAATCAAGAGGAAACCCTTTTCTTTTGAAAACTAGGGTTTTATACCAAGAAAAAAGATTGCATGGTTATCTAACCCTAACTTTGTTTAAAATATGATAGTTTTTGAAAGAATATCAAGAATCAAGGTTTTCAATGCATATATATAAGCTTTAGAATCAAAACATGTATACATATAAGCCCTAACCTCAATGGTCAAGAATGGAAAGAACCCCTACCTTAAATCCTTAGTTTTGAGTGAAGAAGATGAAGATTTGATCTTTCTCACTTGAATCAACACTTGAATCTCTTGTGTTTTTCCTTCTTTCTTCCTCTCTAAGGTTTCCTAGGGTTAGAAATATTGAAATGGGGCTAAGAGAGGTGTGTTTAAGTATTTATAGGGGAAGAAATTGTGTCCTGTGCGCGATTCTGAAAGCTAGAATTCGTAAGTCACGTTCGAACGTCATTTGGCGTTTGAACATCCACAGTGCAAATTAGTGATTTACGTTCGAACGTCACTTTGGATTTCGAACGTTGGTTGCTCCCAGTACTTTTGCATTTCCATCAGAGATCTACAGAGACCAAAGTACTGGAACTCATTGTCGTTTGAACGTCCTCCCAGTTTCTACTGTAACTTCCGGTGAAGTTTTGACCTATTTAGAGGTCGATTTAGAAAATGTTCATGAAATACACTTTTATAGCCCTAGAAATATACTATCAAATATAAAAATGTCAGATCAAATGAACATAAGGATAAAATATTATGATACAAATACTAAGCAGTGTCCAAAATCCTTTCTACCCAAATTTTGTCTAAAATGTTTTTTTCACTCCGGAATACTTCCAAACTTCTACAATATGCCATATTACCTCAACTAACATTTTTATTTCTACTCTTACAATCCACATAGTTCATGCATACATTATCACATATATTAGTATTTCAAAAATAATTACATTGCTATATTAAGATAAGCATGTGGGAGTTTACAATCCACCCTCCTTAAAGAATGTTTCGTCCTTGAAACTTACCTTAAGTAGAGAACAAATGAGGGTACTTCTTTAGCATCTCCAGCTTTGGTTCTCAAGTAGCTTCCTCCACCCCGTGATGTTGCCACAAGATTTTCACCAGTTGGATTACTTTATTGCGAAACACTTTCTCCTTGGTATCAAGAATCTTCATCGGTTGTTCTTCGTATGTTGCTCCATCTTGAACTTCAATATCCTCCAAATTTACGACATGCGTTGTATCCGATTGACACTTTCTTAACATTGAAACATGGAACACTTCACGCACCCTTGACAATTGGGTTGGTAAACCGAAGTTGATACACCACTTTGCCTACAGCTTTGATCACTTCAAATGGTTTGATGTACCTTAAAGCTAATTTTTCCTTCTTGTCAAATCTAAACACTCCCTTCTTAGGTGACACCTTGAGGAACACGTAGTCCCCCTCTTGGAATTCCAATGGTTTTCGTCTTCCATCCGCATAGTTTTGCTGTCTATTTTGTGTCGTGCGTAGTTTTCTTGAATGAGTTGAATTTTCTTCGTAGTCTCCCGAACAATTTCTGACCCAAATAGGCTACTCTCTCCAGCTTCCAACCAACAAGTCGGGGACCTACATCGTCTCCCATACAATGCCTCATACGGCGCCATGCCAATGCTAGATTGAAAATTGTTGTTGTATGCAAATTCCACCAACGACAAATGATCACTCTAACTTTCCTTGAAGTCCAACACACAAACATGTAGCATATCCTCTAGAATCTGTATCACCCTCTCAGATTGACCATCCGTTTGAGGATGAAATACGGTGCTAAAGTGTAACTCTGTCACCAATATCCTTCTCAAAATAATTCATATTGCATCATTCTTTCAGGAAAGAGGTACCCCTAGTTTAATATATATATATATATATATATATATATATATATATATATATTAGATAATTGTATATAGTACTACTAATAAATGAGTTCAAAATAATTTAAAAGTGCGAATAAAAGAATTCAAAATAAGTTGAAACTTAAACAGGAATAAAAACAAAAAATTAAATGAAAGTATATAGGTGAGAATAATTGATTTTATCATAATAATTAGGGAAAAAATAGGAAATCAAAAATTTTTCATCGATATTGACATTTATAAACAGTATAGGTATAAATATAGATAATTAGGGGTAAAATAAGAAATTAATTTTTTATTTATAAATTCTGACATTTATAAATAGTATAGATATATTTCACCCTAGCCAAACGAATACTTAATGAAATTCTAAAAGCAACTTAGAAGAAGAATCTAATATCATGGAAGATGGTAGGATGTGTTAAATGAATATCAATAGAGGGTTTTTTGGAGAATTAGGAAGGTAATGAACTGTTAGTTAAAAAAAACTCGGTGGTATGATGAGGTCTAAAGTGCAATTAAAACAAAAAGAACGTGCCATAAGTACACATGGTAACAATTACTAACGAAGAAAATTTTAAAGAATATAAGCTTGCAAATAAAGAAGCTTAAAAAGTGGTTTGAGAAGTCAATATAAAATATATGATGAGCTTTATTCTCAGTTATGTACAAAATATATAAAGAAAATAATATATAGACTTTTGAATCTAAGGGAAAGAAAAATTAAGGATTTTAACCACATTAAGTGTATTAAAAGCAAGGATTCAAGGGTCATAGTACGAAATGAGAAACACGAGGCAAGATAAAAAAAAAATTACCTTGAAAATTATTAGAGGAGAGTTTAGTATATTATCCATAACGATATCAAAAAAAAAAAATGTTTTTCATTTAATTAGGGTGTTTGAAATTAAGAATGTTTTGTTAAAGAAAAAGAAACATAAGAAAACTTGAAGACCTAATTATATGTGGATTGAGGTTCAGAAGAGTTTAAACGTTGTGAAAGTATTTTAACTAACCAAATTATTAACTAAGATCATAATGATTAAGGTGTCAAATGAATGGATACAAATACTTTAGAATCTATATAAATCAAAGGAGACATTCAAAGCAACACAAATTATTAAAGTATGAAGTTAGTGAGTCATAAATGAAACATTGGAGGAGAGTGATCGAGTAATGATTAAGACTTCAAACAACAGTTTATGAGGATCAATTTGTATTTATGCCTGGAAAGAATAATAAAAGTGATATAACTGCCTAGAGGGCTTGTGGAAAAATATGAGAAAAAAATAAATAAAAATTACAGATTTTATACATTTAAAGAAAATTTGTGATAGAGTACTTACAAATATAACGTGATGGATTTTAGACAAGAATACTATTACTGTAGGTATGTTTGCATTATTGAAGATATGTTTGAGGACATAGAGACTTTAATGAAAACTATAAGCGAAAGTAGTGAATTTCCTAACCATTGTAGGCCTATACTAAGCTTTGCCTTGAATACGTATCTGGGCGGCGATAAAGTCACACAAAGGGTCACCACTTCATACGACGAAGAGGCCTTGGTGAATTTGTAAGACAAGAGAACACTTAGGTAAATTGATGGCTGGAGGCGGCTAAAGAGACTCTGATACTTAAATCATTAAACGAGTCGAAGAAAAATATAGAATAAATAGGCTAGAATTGAATGTTTTACTTGGTACGTGGGACTTATATTTATATTAGTAGAGAGATGTATCCCAATTCAACCTGAACTCTAGGGTGATTGCCTTAACCTTGTCACCAAATCCTAGAAATAGGGGTAGAGCTAGACTAAGACTCTTGGTCCTCGGTCCTTATCGCTAGCTCTTGATTGATCGGAGTGGCATTTCATTGGAACTTTAACTCTTCGGTGCTATATTCTCAGCTCCTAAATATTTGGAGTGGTATATGATTAGGATTAGAGATCCTTAGTTGATCCTTCACTGAGTAAAACTCAACTTTAGTTGCCTTTAGTGCCAAGTGTGGACGAGAGAGGTCTTGCCCAAACCCTTGGCCTTGCCAAGTGGCATGAAGAAGCTTCCCTCTTACTCTTGTCGAGTGGCCTTGGCTTGCCCTTACTAAGTGGCAGAGGCTTGCCTTTGCCGAGTGGCAGGCTAGCTTTGTCGGGTGGCACGAGCTAGCTTGCCGAGTGGCAAGCATGCTTTGTCTAGTGATGCCAGCTCCTTCTTCAACTGCCAAGTGGTGAGGGGAAGGCATAGATGTTGAGTGATGAGGGGAAGGCAAAGAATCTGAGTGGTGAGAGGTGCTTTTGCCGAGTGGTAATAGGTGCCAAGCTAGATTGAAGATAAGCATACAATATGAAAATAAATTTTTAGTAATAGTAGAAATTCAAGTAGGCATACAGTAAAGATGAAAAATCAAGAGACATCAAAGGACAAGCACATCTGGTATTTGGAATCAACTATCCATAGAGAGAGGAAGATTGGAGACAATATTGATCAAAAAATTAAAGCAGGGGTAGTAAATAGAAGAATGCATCTGACATATAGTAGAGTCGACGTATACCTATTAAGTTGAAATGTAAGTTTTATAAAATTGCCATTAGACCAACGTGATTTTATAGTAAAAAATGTTGGTCAATTATAAAGCAACACCCTCAAAAGTTAACTATGACAGAAGTATGAATGTTAAGATGAATTTATAGTAGAATAAGTGATCAGAGAATTAGTAATGATTATGTTTACAAATAATAGAAGTACCATCAATATGAGATAAACTAAGAGACAATCAAGGTTGTTTGGACATATATAGAAGATCAATAATTGCATTGGGGAGAGAAAGGAAAATTGAATTTTACAATATCTAATATCCCGTTGTTTTTCAGTAGCTCAGTGGCAAAGCAATTGCCTATTAACTAATTGGTCGTAAGTTCGAATCCTACTTGGGGAGATAGTTTGACTTAGCCTAAGCGATGCCCAATGATTCACGAGGGATAGAGATAGAAAGAAATTAGCTTTGAATTAGATAATGGAAAAAATATAATGACTTACTATTTAATCGAAAATATTGTCCTTAATAAAGCATAATGGAGGAATAAGATTTAGTGAAAATAATAAAGAAGAATAATTTAGCCACCATTTTTGTCAACTAGATACTGCACACATGCGTCGCACGTGAATCATGTGAGTTACAATATGAGTTTATTTATTTTTATTATATTAATTTTTGTAGATTATGAATAAGAAATTAATCAAGATTTGGTATCATGGTAAGTCTAAATGAAATCCTTGTTCTAGTTATAAAAAGTCTATATAAATTAAAGGGAACTGTAAAAATACTTATATTTGAGAAAATAGTTTATGAAAATATATTTGTCATCCCTGACTTTAAAATTGAATACTCTTGATGACCTTATATACTTTTCCATATAAATTGTGTTTTTTGTGTTTATAAAAAATCTATAAACATTAATATGAAAATACTCCTTTAATATAGCTAATGGCAAGTGCGAATAGGGCGGTTCCAAAGCCGAAAACCAAGAAAAAAAATTATACCATTGACCACTAAAGGGGTTGCTTAAGTGAGGTCTGGTAAATGACTTAGTGTATAATTTCAAACACACATTTAGGAGTCGCGAATATTTCAAATTTCATTTATAACACTAATTGTTCTAAGTCTAATGAATGAAACCTTGGATTCCTAGGTCTCTATGGTTATTACATTTGTCCTAGGCTTGAAGGTGCATCAGAGTGATCTCGATATTGAATTTTAGCGTGATCTCCTTACCTTCCTTGTGGCTTAAGGATATTGATCTTTGAAACTTGATGACCATGAAATTCGGTTGAGATTATATAAGACTTTATAAAATTAGCTAATTACAAACATGATCCTAACAGTAAGACTGATAGTGTTTTATTTCATCATATTCATAGATACTTGATGCATGTTGGTGTTCTCAAAGTGGGCTTCCAACCCATTCCTATTTTATCTCCTATAAGTTATACGCACTAGGTTGCTTCAAAAATGATGCAAATGAGGATGAGAGTCAAATAGAAAGAGCATCGAGGCTCTATGGACTAATCGAGGATTCAATTGTCGATTTGAGCAATGTCGAGAGATCTGTGAGGAGAAAGGGAATGTTTAGATAGTTTATGAATTCTTACACTCCATAGCAAATTGTTGCAGAAGAAAGGCATAATTTATCACTATCAGATATGGTCAAGTTGAAGATGGTGCAATGTTAGTCTCATGTCTCCTATGGGAGGAATGCACTTTTTTATTGCTGCCAATATCTTTGGCCATATACTCTTTATATTAGTTTGTTCCACACTATATAAGTTAAGAAGGGGTTCTCACTATTTATTGATAATCTTTGTGAGAAGAGTTAATTGTAATAGTAATATGTTTAATTTGGTATTTGTCTAAGCATGTCGTGCAATCTACATGTATAATCGTTAGGGACCGATAACAATCGAGACCTTCATGAATTGCAAGAACTCTCAAAGAGATTTTCCCTAAGTACAGAGAAGTTGAATAAAATATTATCTACAGGGAAAAGTGTGGGTGACAAAAGAGGCCTAAGCTACACTAATGAGAACACCATTCCCACTTCATTTAAGATTGTGTTTTTAAAGGGTAATCCTAACCTATCATCCCCACGTATAATCACAAGTCCTCCAAAGGGTCAAAAAGGTAAGGGTATGCATTTAAAGAAGGTGGTTAAAAAGGAAACACAAAGCAAAAATCTTGAGTGTTTTACATGTGGAGAGCATGGTCACAATAGCACGTATTGGATTCATAGTAGGAAAGTCATGGACAAGAAGTTCATGCATCTAGCTAACCAATCCAAAATCTTGAATGATCAAGTCATGAATTTTTCTAAGTTTTTGGAGAATTCACGTGAGATTCATCATTTGGGGCTCATTTGCAAGAGTGCATAAGACTCCTTCTATTCCCAAGATCAAGATTGATCTATACACTTTCGGAGAGAAGAGAATTAGCCCTCCACTCATTCTCCAACCAAACTCAAATTTTTGGAAGGGAAAGCAAGTACAAGTGACTAAGGAAGAATTTAAGAGGCTCACCATCTCAATCAAGTTGGATGCTTCTAGTGCTTCCAACAAGGTCAAGTCACCTAAGAAGTAGGTAAGGTGAGTAGTGACTTGATCCGAAATGTGTACATCCAAGTACAGGCGGTCAAGTTGTAGCAATAATCTGGTTAAGTCCAGAGTCGAATCCACAGGGAACTATGATTGGTGTTTTGAAGTAAGCAGTAATAGAGACCAAGTAACTGGAAACTTTAAGAGTTTGAAGTGGTGGGATTTCTTGAATAGAATAGAAGATTCTTTTCAAGAATTTTCTAGACAAAATATAAGATAAATTCAAACGTAAAACAATCACCCATTAGCTTGAGGATCATAACATATAGTCAATCATCCGATTTATTATACTTGTGTTTTATAACTCAATTAACACCTGTGTCAACAGCAAATTAATCAGAAGATAAAGATGGACTGTGAGAATTAAGCACATGATTTCGACGCTTTTCTAGAAACGGACAAGAATTGTTTGTGCCGAGATTTAACTCATCTACAAACAAGCAAGTGTTTCTACAAAGCATCCAACCATGACATTAATGTTCCATTCTTTAGATAAAGCACGATAATAGTGAAGATTGAAATGTGTCATGAAGATCTAGCCTAGGTACTTGCCTCGAACCAATAGGTTTTTCCATGCAAGAGTCATCCGTGACATAGAAAGAACTCATAGTTATACAAAGTACCTTAGCTTTACTAGATGCATTCAATCCTTCAATAAATAAAATATAAAACATTAAAGCATAAAGGAAATGCACAAGTATAGCTTCTGGATAATCAATACATGTTCATCACCTCTTACTAAAGAGTGAATGGGGAACTATTCACTCTTCATGGCTTGAGTAAAGCTAGAAAAGTGAGTGATACTCATCCCTCTAAGTAGAGAACTTACAAGGTAAGGTACAATAAAGGAAGAACCGATCTTTACCAAAAAATAAGTGAATCATATTCTACCATTCACAGCTTTGGTAAAGCTCAAGAAAAGTGGAAGAGTCTTACTCCTCTAAGAAAGAAGGAAGCTCAAGCAATGGAAGTGAAAGACATAAACAATGAAAGTAGGAAAAAGCTAGTCACTACTTGGAGGGTGGCTTCCTCAACCAACAAATGGAGGGTTGCTTCCTCAATCAACAACTGGAGGGTTGTTTCCTCAACCAAGAGATGGAGGGTTGCTTCCTCAACCAAGAAATGAACTAACTCTCTTGACAAAAGTAAATATAACATACATCTAAGATTAATCAAAATGAGTGAGAGTCTAAGCCTCCATACAAACTTCTTACTAGTTCTTGGTGTAGTCTAAGCCTACTAACCAAGCTCTCACTCCATACTTTTTTAAGAGAAGAATGCCCTTTAAAGCTCCCCTAATGGGAGTATTTATAGGCAAGGAAGGGGAGGGGGGGGAGATAAGAAAGGATGAATAGTGTATGCCGCCCAGTAAAAGTGAAAATCAACTACTCTGCAGGCAGTCTGTGGAGGACGTTCGAACGTGTCTCCAGTCTTTGCTTTAGGGGCGTTCGAACTCCAGATGGGGTTTGACCATATTACTCAAGTGGTTTGTGGTCTTCTATGGAAACCCACTTCCATACTTCATGTAGAGCTTGGCGTTTTGCACTCATTACTCTGGTCTTCAATCAAATCAAGTTGACGTTTGAACGTGATTTGGCATTCGAATGTGGTACTCAAGTACCTCAGAGTCTTCTGTCTTGCTTGCAAAACGCCATGTCTCAGCAGTTTGGTCCTCTCATAGTTCAAGTGGATGTTTGAACGTGATTTGGTTTTCGAACGTTCTTACTTTGTTCCATCCTTCTCCAATTTTGTTCCCTTATGCATTGGTGTTACGCTCAAGTGTGATATTTGTTATTCTTGAGCCTTTGTTCACTTTAGGACCTGAAATGTCATCACTTAAACTCCATCGAAGTATAATTAGTCCTAAAAAGGAATAGTAATATGTAAATTTAAGTACTAATCACACCCCCAACCTAAATATTGCTAGTCTCTAGTAATACAACAATTGAATGCAAATCTATTTCTAATGCCTTTTCGTAGGTCATCTGGTTTCATTTAGCATATGCAACAAGCTGTTAAACCACTAGGTTTACCCTAGCGAACGAGTGTTGTCTCGTGAGGGTTTTCAGTGAAGCTATCCACAAACTTTAGTAAAAGAGATGTGTATGTGAGATTGCTGATTAAAGTGAATTAGCATCATGGTCGTTAGGACACTCAACCCTCAATCTTGACTTATCCCGCATATTCCTCTTCCATAGGTATTTACTCTATGCAAAAATTAGCATCTGTCACATTGGCATTTGGAATTCCCAGCGTAGTAGGAATGGTTATTCTAGAAACAAGAATTGTTACATAACAAACATTTCACTTTACCACCTTCCATGGTTAGCTTTGATTTCACAAACCTCTCTTAGAAGTACTCTCAGCAAGAATTCACTCCGGTTATAGTGACTTGTCTCTCAAAGGGCATGTGATCAGTAGATGGCCAGTCAAAAAATCATATGCATAGTTTAGAAAAGGACTGAAGTTTAAGGAGACAAACTAATCATATGTTGGCATAATCTCATGGAGGAACATTGATGCAAATAAAGAAATACTACTTAACATACCCCACTTTTAGATGATGACCTACGCATGCATTAGTCTTGAGATCAATTAGAGCTTTTTGTAGGTTGTAATGTGGCCAGAGGTCAGTAGCTAACGAAATGACGTCAATGGTGTTCAAAAGCTATCTCTTTTTTTATGTAGTGTGACACACCTCTTTCTAGCTTCTCGACATTTTGCCTAGGAATGGTATTTTTTTTCTTTAATTTTTCTCACTTTTCACTTTCTTGGCAAGTCCCTGTCTAT